AAGGGCCAATCACAACGACGTAATGGCCATAATAATTGGATGACCGAACTGGTTCCACTGCAAGTGGCCCAAGCGCAATACGAAAGTTTGACTGGGAAGCAAAGAATTTGTATGGGAAATGAAACTTAGAACTGACTTTATTTGACGTAACAGATATATATTTTGCCATACAAACGTAACTCGCATATTTTGCTTGGGCTTCCTGTTGTTCCTCTGTAAGTCGTTTCGTGGAGGGGGCTCTGAGTACGAATTCGTTACCCAGTCTTCCCTCCTCGCCACTTTTTGTGCGCCTGGCTTATTGTTGACGAGAGAGACACGCGTTTTGCTCTCTGGAAGAATTTGCCTTCATTTCATCGAAAAACTCAATCATGTTCGCTCCAAGAGTAGATGTATATACATGTAATATTTATTTCGATGGACCTCCAAGAGGATGCAGTAAGTTTTTGGCTTAAATTGTGTGTATAGTCAATGATTCGAAGACTCCTATTTTACTTCAAATTTCCGTGAGCACAAAAAGTGCTAATATATCCAAAGTAAATTAGCTTATTCAACTTCATTGAAGTCAGTAAATATATAGATACATTGACGATCATTGATGACATCATTTAATGCTATTCACACTTTGCATTGAAATATCTTTCCAAGCTTACAGACCGGCTTACGGAGTTAACGTTTTATACCACTACATGAGAAATTTCTGCAATTTGATTGGCTTAGAGCAGTGGTATTTCAGCTTAATTTGAAATACCTACATGTGAAAATTACAAACCTTTTGCGGGTAGTGGTATAAACAAATAATAGCATGATTTGTAGTGATATTTGGCATAAATACCACTCGGGATATTTCAAAATTGTCTCAAATTTCACTCGCCTAACGGCTCGTGAAATTACGTATAACAATTTCGAAGTATCACTCGTGGTATTTATGCCAAATATCACTACAAATCATTCTATTACCTATACAAATCCGGGAGCTGAGCCCCAAAATTAAAGCAAGGCTGTGCTCTAAGGAAAATTAAAGAGAGCCTAGTGCTGTCGATAGCTTTCTGAAATAGTGTGACATTGTTTTTGTTTTGTTTTTTATTACTTTGCTATTGCGTTACTAGGAGCTGTCAAGTTAACCATTTTTTGATCGGATTACAGATAATTCACTTTTACGCTTAATAGGTTAGATGTTATTATAGTAAACGGAATGATGTATCAAGTCAATCAACGTTGTCGGTTCTTATCGTGAACAGGAACGATGAACAGATGTTACTGATGTATTTTAGGTTTGCATGCTCACGCGATATATTCAGATGTAATCAGCTTTTGTTCGGAATGGGTCCTTTTTGGAAATACAGTAGATCACTTTCGAAGGAGTTGGATTTTATTACTCATTCTCAACAAGTGCTATGAAACTGTAAAATCTAGAAAGAACTAAGATTTTGCGGTTGCCCGGGAGCAAAAGTTAAGCACCAGGAGGCACCAGAGTCAACTAGAGCAAACCCCATTATGTTCACACCCTAACAGAAACCTGATTTTACCATAATCATTAGCTATTTTAGTGCTGTCTTGTTATACTGCCTGTTGAAGTTTGTGTGATGAGATGAAACCATTATTGGCATTGCTTTGTGCTGCTCACCAGCATTCATTATCTATAAACAAAAGGATTTAAAAAAAAGTCAACACTTGAAGAGATATTTTGTGTCAGTGCACAGCCATCATGTAATATCCTCTGTATGTGACATGGAATGTTATAGGTTATTTTGATGAGTGGTGGGAAGGGAAGAGAGGGACAGGAGATTATGAGCTTCCTGAGACATTAAAGGGCAAATGAAAAATCTTTCACAGTGGATTTTCTTTCATCTAAAGGCTACCAGTGTGGAAAATAGCCCTTGTGTATGTTTACCTCAGATGAGTAAATTTCACCACCAAGCCTTGTTTCCAAAATCTAAATTTGTGAAGTTTTTTGTTTGAATTCCCATGATAGTTGTTTAGTAAAGAATACTGTTACTCATCATGCACTGAGACAATGCAAAGAATTTTATTCCTAAATGGGGCTCGGTGATAATGAAATATGCTTTTCTGAGGTAAACATGCACAGGGGCCAATAATCGTAACCCTGAATTTGGGGAAGGCAGTGGCCTTAAAGCTCCATTCTGTGAGTTAGTGAATTGGTGATAGAAATGCCATTTTTTGTTTCATTTCAGGTCTATATATAGTCCCTCAACCCTTCAAGCTCTTGTCAATGCAATATATGCTGGTAAGCCTGTACAATCTTTAAACAACTGAACAAGCTCACTCAATAATCCTCAGTTATCACTAATTATTGATCCAGATTATAAGAGAATGAAAACCACATGGCACAAGTAGAAAAAATGTTATAAATTAAGACCAGTCCTTGCTATATTTTGTCAATAACACATTTTTTTTCCTTTGCAGTCCATTCAGGTTCCTTAATTGTTATTATTCAAGGAATGGATAATGTACAAGTTCCCTGTGAATCTCAAGTTATGGTGAACAGTTGCATGGGTTGTAAGGATGGTCTGACTGGTGTTGGAAAAGCAGAAAAAGCCAACAGCAGACTGACAGTACAGAATAAAGGCTTTCTACATTCTTTCTGGTGAGTAAGGGCATTATATGTATCTTTCATGAACCCAAAAGTAGAACTACTAATGTGCTCCATAAGAAACAGTGCCACTGATAGCATACGTCCTTGTATATTCACTTGACATTGCCTGCACTGCAGCCTCTTAAGTCTGGCAACTCCTGTGGTAGGAGGGGGTAGGGTAATGGTGTCTCTTATGTGTTATATTGGATAGTTTGTTACAGACTGGTATGATTAAAAAATTCTGTTGTGCATAGAATAAAGTAGCCTCCCATGCAGACGTTCGTAGGGGTTCCTCGTGGGTTCCTGCCCATTAACGTCTGCAGAATCAAGCGGTAAAAAACGTAGACCAATCACAGCACACTTCCAGATCTGGGAAGTGCACTTTGGACCTTGAGAAATTTTGTGCAAGACTCGGCTCCAGAAAATGATGCTCGGACCTACAACACCTTACCGAAAATCAAGTAGAGACCCTCAGTAAATTTACAATTAATCAAGCTAAAGCGCCATTTTAAACAGTAATGCCTGCGGTACATGTTGCCTTTTAACTTAGTAATTGCCTAGTTAATGTTTTAATTTCTTTGTTTTTGTGTTGTGTCAGGGGTCCATTTAAACTAGCTCTGCTAAATTAAATGCCCGGGATAAATATTGATTAAAAAACAAGATCAGAAATGTCCCCAAAAGGGGAAGACCTTACACTCTTTTAGAACAAACTACTCAGTTAACTCACACGCCTTCATACTAGAGATTGCCCTCATGATCTCATTGAAAAAATTACCTCGGAGGTTTAATTTGCTGAATGGAAGTTGGCTTTGCTACAAAACAGTATAGCACAAAAAAAATTCTGCCCTTTGTTCATTTACAATGTACAACCCTGCTGTTGCCTTTTCTTAATGAACAAATGACATCTAATTCAGCCTTTACAAAGAGAAATATGCAAAAGCCAACACTTATCTAGTGAGCTCCGGAGGAAAATTTTGCTTTTTTTTATCATATGGAATTGCTGTCTTTATACAATTGAAAGAGCTGCAGTGATTATAGCAGTAACTTGCCAGAATTTAAACGTAGGAAAGAAGAGCAAGAACTTGAAGACTTGCAAGAAGTCTTGGATATCCTAACGATCCCGGAGGACGCTAAAGCCGAGCAAAGCGACATTGTCTTAACAGCACTACACATAGCACAAAACTTTGCCTCCAAAGCCGATAAAATATTGACTAAGTTAACCAAACTGGATGCCATCACTTTTCAAATTAAATTACTCCAAAATTCTGTCAATAAAATATATGCTACTGTAAGTACCTTGGAAAATGAGGTTGCACAGATTAAGAACGATTTAAAAACTGCTTCCAGCAATGAATGAACTGGAGAACAGTGTAAGTAGCCTGAACAAGGATGTCAAAGAAGGAAAGTCAAGCCTGGAAGTTTTTAGGACAAAACTGAGAAGGATCATCGCAAACTGGAACTGCAACTTTTGAATTATGAAGGATACCATTGCCGGGAAAATTTGCGCTTTTATGGAACCAGTGAGGAAGGCACGGACGAGAACACTAAGGAGGCTATGTACAATTTCCTGGAAACATAATTAGAAATTGAAGAGGCTTGCAAGATCGCATTCCATCGAGTCCACTGAGTAGGAAAAGAAAAGTGCAATCCCAGGGAACCGTGAGCTATCATAGCATGCTTCCTCAGATACCCTGAACGTTAAGCAGTGTTCTCTCACCGCTCATCCATTGAAGATGAATCTGGTTTTTGAATAGGACCTTATCTGCCGAAACAAGGTGTGGAAATGAGCAAGAAGCTGGTCCCTAAGATGTTTGAAGCTAGGAATCAAGGAAAGAGGGCTGCTTTTAGCAGATCTGAGCCATACAAGGTACCTACTGATCGATGGACTTCAGTACACATAATTCTGTTTGGATGTTTGTTATTCTTTGTTTATTATACCTGCATTTTTCTCAATTCTGTATATTTCTTTCTCTGCGCTTTTATTGTAAACCAGCTTTTCCAGAATTTAATCACCAATTTCAAATTTATTTCATTGTTTTTTTCAAGGGGAGCTAACTTCATTTCCGCCTAAAAACAAGGAGTAGGAAAAGAGCATCGACACATTCTCATGTAGTTTAAACAGTTCTTTCTGGCTATGTTTGCACTTTTTATTTTTTATTGTTCTATGTGAAAGTATTTTTGTTGTTACATGCATGTTGATTAGCCTAAATTTCATGTGGGGTGAGATTTTAATGTAGGCTTGAAACCGACCCTAGACTGTTTGGGCGGGAACTTAATGGTCAAAGATTCAGTTAAGTTTTTGGAAGATTTGATTATGGAACATGTCATTGTGGACATTTGGAGAGTTCGAAACCATTAATTCAAAGAAGACTTGATTATTGGTTCATAATCGATTCACTTCAGGACGATGTCGCAAAAAACTGATATTATAACCGCTATCAACACAGACCACTTGGCTGTTGTTCTTGGAGTTGATAGCTTAGCTGAATACCCAAGAGGTCCTTTATTTTGGAAGTTTAATAACAGTCTACTGGACAACTCCAATTTTGTCCAATGTATGTGTGATAGTTTTCCTATATATTTGGCTTGGTGGAATCAGTTATCGTGAAGATCTAAGGATGCAATGGGATTACATTAAATATAAGATTTGGCAAGACACTATTAGATACAGCAAAGTAAAATCTAACATAAGAAAAATTAAGCGGAAAAAAATTGAAGAAAGATTAAGGAAATGCGAAGAAAAAGTTGCAGAAGCACTAACTGCTGAGAACCTTGAAAATTAGAAAGAGTATGATTATATTGTAAGAGGTTCAATAATCTGTTCTCATGCTACATGGTATAAACAAGGTGAAAGGAATACAAAATATTTTCTCAATTTGGAAAACAGCATTATAAGAAAAAAGGTTACATTAGGAAATTACTTATTTCAGATGGAGAAGAGACTACAGATGCTAATGTCATATTAAAGGAAATCTATGATTTTTATTCAGATCTTTATGACAAAAAACTGGAGATTCAATCTGACTTCACTGGCTGTCCCTTTGTAGAGAACTCGTCAACAGTTCCTAAACTAAATTATGCCATGGGAGAGATGTACGAAGGTCAATTTACAGTTACTGAATGTTTTCAGGTTCCCTCAACTTTCCAAAACAACAAAGCTCCAGGGAATGATGGACTCTCAGCTGAGTTTTATAAATTTTTTCTGGCCAGAAATAGGTTACTTGCTAGTCGAATTCATAAACTACTCTTATGTTCATGGGGAGTTATCTACCTTGCAGAAAGAAGCTATAATAACCCTCGTAAAGAAGAAAAACAGAGATAGATGATTGATAAAAAATTGGAGACCGATATCTCTAGTAAACGTAGACGTTAAAATAGGCTCAAAAAGCTATCGCAAAGAGAGTAGAAAAGGTCCTGCCATATTTAGACCATCATGACCAAAATGTTTTCGTGACAGGAAGAACAATTTTTGATGCAGTTAGAACAGTAAGTGACATCATGGATTATACAGAAATGAAAGGATATGAAGGGATAGTGTCCGCTATAGACTTTGAGAAGGCTTTTGACTCCCTGAGTTTGGACTTTCTTTTTAAATCTCTAGAACTATTTGGTTTTTGTGTCTCCTTTACATTCAGGGGCACCCAACGACGGTTTCCTCCAAAATACGTTAAAAGCACTTTTTAGGCTATCCAGAGTGCTTTTCTCTAGAAATGCATTTTAAAAGGCGCTACAAAATCTTTTTCTGTTCGGTCATCCTAGCGGAACTTGAGTCTTTTCGAAATTACAAGGGCTTCAGTATTATTTTTCCAAAAATTTCAGGTGCAATTTAACGCTTTACGAAAGTGAGAGTTTCTCTGATTTCTCTCTCCATGACATTTTAGAATCCAAAAATTTAAGGTTTCGTTTTTCCAAGAAAAATAGTGTAAGCTGTTTAGTGTAAACTAAATAGTGTAAACTTCAGAAAATCAAGGGGGATCTATTAGATAAGCCTCGAAAATTGTACATGAATGGAACGTTCATCTGGAAATTTTTAATAGTCCTGAAGCAAAAGAAAATTCCAGGCAATATTTGCTTCTCCAAACAGATATTTTACAGAAAGCAGTTGTGTTGGGTGCCTTTGTATATTGTAGATTAAGACGTTTTATAAGAATATAATGAGCAGTGTAGCTAACAATGTTTTTTTTACTGGCATCTTTTAACAATAAACGAGGAGTTCATCAGGGCAACCCACTCTCACCATTCCTCTTTATCATAGTCCTCGAATTATTAGCAATCTCCACCCAGAATAATCGGAATAATCTTTTTTCAGGGTCTTTGTTTTGTAGACACCCCAAAATAATCGTTAACTCAGGGGCATTAAAGTGAATTGGAATGAAATTTAATTTAGTTACATTTGCTGACGATATAACAACCTTTGTTTGCAACAAGCCATCTCATTTAACTCTAATAAAATTTAATGTTATCAATTTATTCGGTACATACTCCGGCCTGAAAATTAACCACGAAAAAACAGAGATCCTACTACTTAGTAACAAAGAAGTTGCAGTAAGAAACTTTTAATTAGAGGGCACTAAATTTAAGAAAACCAATAAAATCCTGGGAGTTCATTTCACATATAACACTTCATTGTTTTGCAAATTAAACTTTGAATCTGTTGAAAAATCGCTAAAAAATTTGCAAAAGCAGCCAGTTGGAAGTACTTCTTAGACTTTTATCTCAGCCCAGTGGGAGGCAAATTCTTGTTTCACTGCAACTTTAACTACTCATATACCTATTTCCCTCCCTGACTTCTACAAGGAATGCGTCATGTTGTGGGCTTCCCTTAACTCCATAAATCCTTCTTCAGTCTCTGAGATTTCAAATCAATTTCTATGGAATAATAGGTTCATCTGTATTGATTCTCGTTTACATGGTTTAATTGACACTGGATTCTTAACTGTTAGGGACCTTTTTGACTCAAATGGAAACTTCAAGGGACTTGGCTTTCCAGGCCTTCTACACCTCTCGCCAGTTGATCATTTTTTACTTGCTCGTCTCATTGACGCCATCCCAGAGAAATGGTGCAAACAGTTAAAGGCGAATGGAACCATGACCTCATTAAACAAACACCACATAGATTGCAGTTTTTCATTGCATTGTAAAGGAAAAAAGATTTATACAGATAAGATCTAATCTAAATTATTGTATGATCTCTTTCGAGCCAACGGCTATGAAAAAATATAATGAAATGTTCAACACTGAGACCTTTCAATTGGACTGGGAAAGAGTNTAGAATCCAAAAATTTAAGGTTTCGTTTTTCCAAGAAAAATAGTGTAAGCTGTTTAGTGTAAACTAAATAGTGTAAACTTCAGAAAATCAAGGGGGATCTATTAGATAAGCCTCGAAAATTGTACATGAATGGAACGTTCATCTGGAAATTTTTAATAGTCCTGAAGCAAAAGAAAATTCCAGGCAATATTTGCTTCTCCAAACAGATATTTTACAGAAAGCAGTTGTGTTGGGTGCCTTTGTATATTGTAGATTAAGACGTTTTATAAGAATATAATGAGCAGTGTAGCTAACAATGTTTTTTTTACTGGCATCTTTTAACAATAAACGAGGAGTTCATCAGGGCAACCCACTCTCACCATTCCTCTTTATCATAGTCCTCGAATTATTAGCAATCTCCACCCAGAATAATCGGAATAATCTTTTTTCAGGGTCTTTGTTTTGTAGACACCCCAAAATAATCGTTAACTCAGGGGCATTAAAGTGAATTGGAATGAAATTTAATTTAGTTACATTTGCTGACGATATAACAACCTTTGTTTGCAACAAGCCATCTCATTTAACTCTAATAAAATTTAATGTTATCAATTTATTCGGTACATACTCCGGCCTGAAAATTAACCACGAAAAAACAGAGATCCTACTACTTAGTAACAAAGAAGTTGCAGTAAGAAACTTTTAATTAGAGGGCACTAAATTTAAGAAAACCAATAAAATCCTGGGAGTTCATTTCACATATAACACTTCATTGTTTTGCAAATTAAACTTTGAATCTGTTGAAAAATCGCTAAAAAATTTGCAAAAGCAGCCAGTTGGAAGTACTTCTTAGACTTTTATCTCAGCCCAGTGGGAGGCAAATTCTTGTTTCACTGCAACTTTAACTACTCATATACCTATTTCCCTCCCTGACTTCTACAAGGAATGCGTCATGTTGTGGGCTTCCCTTAACTCCATAAATCCTTCTTCAGTCTCTGAGATTTCAAATCAATTTCTATGGAATAATAGGTTCATCTGTATTGATTCTCGTTTACATGGTTTAATTGACACTGGATTCTTAACTGTTAGGGACCTTTTTGACTCAAATGGAAACTTCAAGGGACTTGGCTTTCCAGGCCTTCTACACCTCTCGCCAGTTGATCATTTTTTACTTGCTCGTCTCATTGACGCCATCCCAGAGAAATGGTGCAAACAGTTAAAGGCGAATGGAACCATGACCTCATTAAACAAACACCACATAGATTGCAGTTTTTCATTGCATTGTAAAGGAAAAAAGATTTATACAGATAAGATCTAATCTAAATTATTGTATGATCTCTTTCGAGCCAACGGCTATGAAAAAATATAATGAAATGTTCAACACTGAGACCTTTCAATTGGACTGGGAAAGAGTGTACTCGTTACCTTTCAAAATTACTCTGGACACAAAATTAAGAGAGTTTCAATACAAATACTTCATAGAATCTGTTACACAACTGTCATGTTGTTCAAATTTGGTTTATCTGAAACTCCATTGTGCTATTTCTGCAATGAAGAATTAGAGACACTAGAACCTTTCCTCTTTCACGGCAAAAAGGTTAACACTTTCTGGAATGAGCTTTACACCATTCTTAAGTCTCAAGGCCTAGTTTCTACCAACTTCGATTTAAAGATATTTTATTTGGCCATTTTTGCTCGGATAATGATGACAGTATCCTTGGTAATTATATCATTCTTGGAGTAAATATCTGATTTTTCGTTCAAAGTTAAGTAAATCATTTTCATGACTAGCCTTTTATTAGAAACATGCCAAAAAAACATACCAAATCAAACGTTTCATTGCAAATAATAATAACAAACTCCACTTTCACAATAGAAAATGGGAACTTTCATAACAACTTCCACCCATGTAGCTCTTTCTTATTTGTTTTTTCAGGTGGTGCTTGCCTACTGTTTAGTGTGTAATATTTAGTGTTTGTGTATAGTGATGTAGTTGTGTTGTGTTTTTGCTGAGCGTAGTAATGATGTAGTGATAGTCTTAGCATTAATGCTTCCTTTCCTTGGCTTTTTGTTACGATATGTTATGTTTTTTTCCTTTTATTTATTGTATTTATTTATATATTTTTTCTCCATTCTTTCTTCTCTCTATTTTATTTTTTTGCAACTGTTGTAAAAAATTTATAATAGTAAGAATAAAAAAAGCCTGGCAACAGGTTAAAAACAAAAAAAACCCTTATCTCCTAAATATTCTTGTCCAGAGATAAACTCTTTGGTCACAGATCACACTCTACCAGGCTTGCACGTATGTGTTTGGCTTGTCAACACTTCGACTTTAACAGTGCTGATTGGTCCTCTGATAATCTGCCCATGAGCTCCAGCTTATATTTGCAAACAATGGAAAGGGAATTCAACTACTCAATTCAACAGACATTTCATGGGGAACACATGATGACCCCCTAAGAACGTCTATGTGGGAGGCTAAGAGTAAAGTGGTATTATCACATGTGCTGTGAGTGTTTTGTGAGGAAAATGGTAAAACACCTTTTCTAGACTGCTTCGTCTAACGAGACAACAACAGACTACAAATGACAATTTATAGAAAGCTAACACATACCAACAGATTACTAGACCAGTCACCTTACAACCTGACCTCTCACCAAGCCACAACTATACAGACTTTGACAAGACAGGGCAACTACTTTTTTGTTTTAGTTGATGAGTTAGTTAGAGGATGACTTGCCCAGGGGACCCTTACTCATGGGGCAAGTGAGCTTCAAAAGTTACTCAACCATCGAGAAAATCTGGTTTCCCGGACTACTGGATGGAATTTTTTTGAGCCTTGAATAAAGAAAATGACCAAC